CCCCCTGCGCGGGGCGGGGAGGAGGAGGAGGAGGAAGAAGAAGGTGTGGCTGGAGGTAGGGGTGGTTCCTGTGTCCGGCTGGGCGGGCTGCCTGCGTGTGAGGGGCTGCTCTTGCCCGCCTGGGTGACCCCCAGGAAAATGGGGCTTTAGTCCCCAGACTTGCCAGCTCCCCTTCCCCAAGTTTCTGGGTCTCAGGCGCACAGAATGTGCTCCCCTGGGCCCTGTGCGGGGCTCTGTGTGCTGCTGGCGCTGCTGTGCTCAGGGCAGCTCGGCTGTATTAACAAACTGATGTGTGGGGAAGTACTATGATTAAGGTAAATACGGCTGTGCTTCCATCGAAGGAGGGGAGAAAATTGAGGGCTGCCACCTTTAAAGGTTTTGAGGAAAATGTTTTTAAAGATTTCAGTAACTAAAGTGAATCTATTCGTCAAACTTCTTATTATGCTTTTATTTTCTGATTTTCTGTTAAGTGGTGCAGTTCACAAAGGTGGTTGTTACCCAGTCGGCTAAACACTTGTTTGTTATTAACTGCATTCTTCACACTTTCTTTTTTTTTTTTTGTCTTTCTTCAGCCTGGCAGACGACAAAAAGTGAAGTGAAAAAGATTGCACGTCTTGGAAAATGAAGGGTAAATGGTGCTTAACGCAACGGCTGTCCAAGTAAGCTTCAGCCATCTTTTTAACTCTCAGTGGTGTGTTACATTTAGTAACACGTGCACCAAATACCTTTGTAATACTGCTTTCTGAGTAGGTGATACAAACTTGTTCTTACAACTACTGGTAACTATTACCTCTTTCAGCCTTTGTGGGGTTTTTTTCTAACCTGCCACAGCGTTGCAAAGGTGGCTGTTGTGGCATCTTTGTGTCATTATGTGGCAGAAAGAGACAGGCTATGTTCTACGCTCGTTTGTTCTGAAACCCGTGAGCACTCAGAGTGATTGATAGCCTGACATTATTTGTAAGTGGGATGGTTAATAGGAGACCCTCAAGAAACTAAGCTTTTCCTATTTTTTTTTAATTGCCTTAAATGTGAGATCTGTATGTACTAGAATAGAAAGGTCTTCTGTTTGACCTGTAGTGGATGTACAGCAGAAAAGCTGTGTGTGACTTTCCAGTGATTTAGCCTTGAAAACAGTAGGATCCTGTTGGTATGTAGACTTGTATTACAGAAGAGTGACTTGAAGTGATGTGTCTAAAGCCACGTGGCAAGTTGGTGACATCACTGGGAGCACGTCCTGGGACTCAGATGCTGGCAGCCCTGATCCTATCCCAGTCCGAAAGTAAAAATAGGCCTGCACTATTCATTTATTTCTTTAGCTTCCCTCTCTTACTGGGCCTTCCAAATTTCTGTTGTCAGTGAAACACTAACCATATAACAAGGCTTTGAAGCGTGTCTAAATATATAAAATAAATCCTGTATATATTTTCCACTTCTTTTTCAGGGAAAGCCGTGTGACATGGCAGACTCAGGAGGTCTCCTCAAAGACCTGAGGTGAGCAGTAGTGGATGCAGGTTCCCCTGTTGAACAGCTCCATGCCCCAGCTCGTGTTGCAGATGTGGCTGTAGTGCCATGTCTGTGTCATTAGGTGGCAGAGAGGAAAAGGCTACATCCTTGCTAGTGCTCCAAGACCCGTGAGCACTCAGGAATGATGAGCAACCTGACAATTACTTCTTGCTTTCTCTTTTTTTTTTTTCTTGAATGTTAGTCTTAAGTCATGAAGGGTGGACAGCTGTGGAGGGACAGGGTAATAATGCTGAGTCTTTTGGAGGTTTGCTCTCCTGACATGTTAATATCATTAGGGGGCAGAGACGAAGGGGCTTCTTGTGCCTGAAACGTGTAACTGCTCAGAGATTAGTAGCTTGATGTTGTTTCCACGCGTACCTCTGTCTCTAGAGAATCAGTGGAAGATGGAGCAAAATTCCTTTGAAGAGCAGTTAAAATGATGCCATTTTTAACTGTATCAGGGCAAGGTCCTTCCTTATTTTTTGGAAGGACAAATAGAAGTGACAGCTCTGTTCTTGAATTCTATTTTTGCCTTTGACAATCCCTTGTGGACTGCAAGATATCCTTGCTTGCTGCCTGTTCTGCCTGTGAAAGGGCACCGCTTGAGTTTTGCAGGGGTTGGTGCACCTGGGAGTGGAGGAGATGGGGGAAACAGGCAGTTGACCTTGTTATTTCCAAAGTATTGGCATGATCTAGAAACGGTTGGGTGTGGATTTAGGAGATGGAGAAAATTGCATCCTGTTCCCAATACTAATAAAATGCTCAGCCAACAACATCTTGACTTCCAAGGTTGCTGAGTAAGTTTGACCAGAAGGTGCAGTCAGCAGTCTTCTGAAATGCAGCTTTGTAACCCTGCTTGCTTTGGGCGGGGGGAGGGAGGGGTGGGGAGGAACCAAAACCCAACGCTCCTTCCCACAAAAAACCCAAACTGAAAATCTTTTCCTTCTTACAGTTACCTTTGAGAACAGGGCTGAGTTCCAGAACTTGCTTCAAATGTTGAAGGTAGGTATGATGTCATTTCTTGGAAATGTACTAAACTTCAGTGTGTTACCAAAGCAGTCAGTGTCCGGGTAGAGGTGCTTGGGTCAGTACAGCTTGTCCTTCTGACTTTTTGCGGGATGTGGACAAATAAAGAAAAAAACTTAAAATGCTACTAGTGCATACTTGCAGAAAGAACTTAAAATTCAGTATTTTTTCATCTTTTTTTGTTGACAAACCTCTACTTCAGGTGGAGCGCTTTCACAATCCTCTATTCTGCTAGTGCAGTAATTTTAAGTGCTGCTTCTGATTAATTTATTTCACTTCCTCAAGCTGCCTTTCTCAGCTCCCAGAGTGCATCCTTTTAAGGGCAGCTGTCAGTCAGAACAAGGCACTTGAGAGCTTACACTTTTACATATATTAAGAGTGCCTGAGATTATCAAAACAGGCTGTGGTACTGCTGCAGTCTGTCACAAAACGCTACTGAAAAAATGTCTTAAGCATAATGAAGAAAAGGCGATCGATTTCAGTAATCCAAGCAAAAAATTAATCCTAAAACCTGAAGTCTTTTTAAAGTCCTTCTAAACTAACTTTCAGTACGTGCAGCAGTGGGATGCTTTTCCCTGTTTCCCAAGACGAGCGGGGCAAAGCATCTTCATTGTGCATCGTATTCTAGCTGGTAACGCAGCAGACAAAAAGCAAAAATCTAATTGAGCCCAATGTGACTTTCGAGTTGGTTTCTGCTGTGTTTATGTGCTAGCGTGGTGGCAAAGGAACTTGACCTGCAAGGCAGCAAGCTGCTAGGGAGCACAGGTATCAGTGTGTCCTAATAGTTCTGTGTGTCCCTGTCCTTTTGGGCAATGTGGCACACACGAGCCTCTGCTGTGCTGCTGTTATTCAAGCAAGCGGTGAGAGAAGCTGTGCCTACACACAGATAGTATTGTGAAACTCTGAGAGGTTTTGCAGTGACTAATAGCTTGACAAAATCTGGCAGTGCTAAATGGTGGAAAATGTCCTCATTAAATGGGCATTATGAGGGCCAAAGGTGTCATTAACCAAGCGGGTAGCTGCTGGCTGCAAAATGAGCCATTTAATTGGGAAAAGTCACTGCCTACCAGCAGTGGCTTTGGAAAAGAATGCTAATAAGGTTGTTGGGGATATGGTTATGCAAAGAGGCATGCCTTAAGATGTGACTCTTCCATTTGAACTTCCTGACTTCTTTTAACCCTGAAATACATATTTGAGTTTTTACTTCAGACTTTACTCACATCAAGGGTGCTGTAGGGGTAGTGAGTACCTAATGAGTCTCTCTTCAGAACTTTACTGTGTGAGGCATAGGCTAGCTATTAAAATTTTCCTAATAGCATTTGCTGCTGACCATCTTCCCAAGACTGAGCAGCAATCCCAGGCTATGAATATTGCTTTAGTGAAAGAACTGCCTGGCTTTCAGCTGTGAAAAAGATTAATATTTTGTATTAAAGTGGTTTTGAGAGAAATTAAAAATCTTTCTGCACATTAACTTAGCCCTTTGCCATTTAGAACTGGTTCATGTCATGGCTTTGAACGCTGGAATAAGCCCAGCTTTTCTTTCTCTGCACTATTAATAGCTTGCCTCTGCATTGAGGTTGGCAAAGTCACCTTTGATTTTTAGTGAAAAGAGTAACCAAGAGCAGGCTCCAGCTATCGTGCTGTTAAATTACCCCTTCTGCAGGCTTGCCAGCGTGCACTGCGCCTAGCCAGAAGATTTTTTTTTTTTCCCAAAGCCTTTCTGATCTAGTGGCAAAGAACCTCTCCTAAATTAGTCCTAGTTTATTAGTGCTGTCCGCCTTCTGTTGCTGCTTTAGGTCCTGATCCACACAAGTTTGCAGGCACTCGGCTTCCACTGACTGCAGTGAATACGGCCGGTGCGAGTTAAGGTGTTCCTGTGGTTCTGGACTGAAGTAAATGGCTTTCTGAAGTTTCCCTGTGAATCGTGATAACCGAGCCCAGCTAATGACTTCCCTAACATTTGGTTTCATTTTATGAAGCTTTTTTATTTCCTCTGGGATGCGGAAAACCTTTGGACAGTCCTAAGACAAGCCTGATGTAATTTGTCAATGAGCTGGAAATGTTGCCTCTGAAACGAAAAGCAAATCTCCATCCTGACTCGCCGCAGCGCCTCGGCTCAGATACTGTGCCACAGCGAACAGCAGGGGCTGGATGGAATGGATTCCTCAGCTGCTTAGTATTGACACTTGCTGCTAACTTGTGCCGGCTGTATTGAAGTTGTCTTAATGTCCTGGGCCTTTTTTTATTTGCAGATCATGCCTTGAGTTTTAGAATTTCTAGACAACCTGGCTACAGCTGTGTCTGCATCTGAAGATTGCTAAAAGTTCATCTTTTTTTTACACGTGGGTTCAAGCACGCTATGGCCAGTGAAAGTGCACACGGTGCTGCTTGAGGTTCTGAATGTTTGTGGCAACCTGTGTACACAGATGTCAGTTTAAAAAAGAAATTACAGTTCTGCTCCAAGTGTCCTTTCTGCTTTTGCTGTGTTCCTGTTGAATTGCCTTAAGAGTTGTAATCTTCTCCCGGCTCATACGCTGTTTTCACAGCCAAATCCTAAAGCATTGCTCTTTCACTCCTTGTTTTCTCTACCTGGTTAAGAAGGATTTAAAAAAAAAAACCCCACACTAAATAAAGATGCCGCCTACAATAAGCCTGAAATGATTATGCTTGTGTATTTGTAGCGCCCCAAGTAATATTAATTTTTAACCATTTTAGGATTTAAGACTTTTATTTGTGGATATGAGACCTGGGATGGTTTTTTACTTTAAACAACGAAGGGTAGAAATCCTGCTGCTTACCTCCCTCCCCTTGTAGCACCGATCTACTACGCCGCTAAAGCAGCGCGTTCTGGTGAGATCAGACTGTCAGTCTTGCAGGATTCTGGCTCGTCCTCTTTTTTTTCCGGCTAACGTGGGAAATCTGGGGAAGGCATTACGAATGTAAAACAGCTTTACCTTTAGTCATTTGTCTCCTGTAGTGTAGCGTAGCTAGTTAGCACGTGTCTGAAAACACTTGGGCTTTTTATTAGTGAGGAACAGAACTGGGTGCTTTTGGGGTGTGAGTCCAGAGTGATTCCTGAAGCGTCCCCTGCTGCTACTGGGGCGTGCAGATCGGTGACACGGTGACGTGGCAGCCCTTGTCGGAAGGGTCTGTCTCGGAATAGAGCTGTCTTGGGTACTTCTGTGAAGTACAGGGGCTGTCTCTCCTTCAAGTTCGTCATAAATGCTTCAAGAGATTCTGGTATTTTAGGTTAAGGGGATAAGCAAGTAACATGGTTGTTTTCCACCTCTTTTCTAGGTGCTTACCTGGTGCTTTATCTAACACTGCTTTGGGGCAAGGGAGCAGTGGGGATTAAGCATAGTGGGAACGCTGCTTATCTGGGCAAAATTTAGGAGTAGATTTCAAATGCAGAACAGAGGGTGAAAAACGGCTTTCCTGAAAATCAGGAGAGGATTTGGCAGGGTTGTAGGGTTCCTTCTAATAGCAGAAGAAAATTAATTTGTCAGTGGAGCTGTTTGCCATGGGAGTGCAGGACAACAGCCGAGGAGCTGGGGGGGCTGCGTGGAGCCTCATTACCGAATTCCAGGCCTCACCTTCGCCCTTGGCCACAGGCCCAGACGCCAGCACAGCGCCCAGAGCAGGACCAGGACCACCTTTGCAGCACTCATACCGAAGGCAGGGTGACCCCAACGGGCTGAGGAACAAACACTCAGCCTTACCACAGGAGAATTACATCAGGCACCCGACTCCTCTGTAGGCGGGGAGCTGTGCTGGCTCCCTGCTAGACCGAGAGCACTGTTGACACTGTAAACATTTCCTCCATAAATAACAGAGGTAATGATGGCCCTGTAGAACTGACGGAGGGAAACACTGATCTCTCTCCTCCAATGGGCTCATAAGTTTGCAGCCGTGACATTACCGATTGCCTTTGCAGGCTATGTATAGCATCAGACGTTATTGGGGGGGGGGTTATACTTCAGATATACGTTCCACTTCGCTAAGCGATCGTTGGCAAGAGCGACGGCATAGCAGGCATGGGATTGTGCTGGGAGCAGAGCAAGCTCGGGGTAGTTTATGTAAACTCCTCTCTGCCTGTAGTTGTAAAAGGTTGTTATCACCGAGCATTTAAAGGCAACCGACCGCAGTTAGAGACCTGGTAGTATCTACACAGCCAAACAAACTTCTTGAAACCTGCGGAAAGCTTGCCTGGAAATTCATTTTAATAATGGGAGAAGCACAGGATTATTCTGCTATTAATCTTTAACCTCTTGCACTGCAAGCCCAGCTTAGTTTTAGGAGAATTAAACCAAGAGGTTGGCTTATCCCTGCACTGAGTATTGTGGGAAGTAACACACGGAGCACAGGCGGTAACGGGTCAGGATTGATCGCGTTGTAGCCCTTTTCCTTTAAGCTATTCTTGGCTTTAGATGCTTCCAAAGCCGATCCGACAGGGAATGGCCTGTGCTGCCAATTTCCAACTGCAGCTGGGTGGGAACCTCACGCAAGCCATCACATCACTGTCTGGGGTCAGGCACTTAAAAACGGAATGAAAGGATTGCCAGGATTCTCCACTGTGGAAAAGACAGCTTATCTGCTTCCTAAGTTACAGCTGGATCCGATGGCGGATGACTCAGACACTTAAGAGAGACTTTTGAATAGGGAAATCTACCTTTCTCTCCTCTTTAGATCACAAGCAAGCTGGTACTTAAAAGGCTGCTGTTTCACTATTGATGTACTGGTGTGATTCACGTAAAAGCTATTTATTTACATCAGAGACGTTCATCAAAAGAAGATGTGACAAGTACAGCATGAATGATTCATTCTCAGCTCTCTGCACTGCTTTCCTGTTCATCAAGAAACAGTGAGATGCGTCCAGCTGGGCTCTGCTTCCTTACCACTTTCCGTGCCATCTTCTTCCCCCAGGACCTGTTCAGCCCGGCTCCCGGTGTCCCAGCTCCGCAGCGTGCTCTTGCCGACTGTATCGATGATCCTGCTGGGTGGTGGAAGTCATGATGCTTGGTTTTCCATGAAGGAGAAGTGGCTGCAGCTGTGCTGAACTCCCCGTGTAGGGTGTATTTTTCCTCTGGGGGAGACGATGGAGAAACAGGCCTTCAACCCTTGGACTTTACTCCAAAATTGCAGATTCTAAACTCCAGGGCCGTGCTTCCCCCGTTAGGAGTATTTGGTGTTTGAAATCTTCTTCCAGAGCAAGGTCTTGAGGTTGTTCAGCACGAGGGAGTGGTGCACTTCCATCTGGCTGGCCAGGCCACTGAGGGTCATGCAAGTTCGGAGCTGTTTCTGCAGCTCTTCTTTCAGCTCCAGCGGCGCCCCGTACAGCAAGTAGTCCTGCAGCAACCCGCAGACCTTCGCCAGGTTGGGCTGCACCATCTCGCTTTTGCACTGCTTCATGAGTTTGTCGCACGTCGCCATACAGTCCTTCCCGTAGGTGCAGTCCACGTTCTGCTCACAGTGACGTCCTTTGAGGAAACCTCTGATTGTCATCTCCGTTGCCACCTTCCTCAGGTTGACCATTTTGAAGTCGTATTTGTCATTGTAGCCCACGTTCTTAAAGCTGGTCTCGCAGATGTAGAAGTTCCCGTAGGTCCCGTGGAATATCTCCTCCACGAACTCCAGAAGGCCGATGGCGATCTTTGCCCGCCGGGGCCACGCTGGTGCAAACCACTGGTGGATGATTTGGTGGACGACTGAAGGCAGCAGCGACTGGAGGAAGGGGGGGACATCCACTCCGTAGAGGGAGGTGTGGGGGATCTTCTCAGTGACGTAGAGGTCCCCGCAGTGCCCCAGCAGCTTGGCAGTGTGCTCTTTCTCGTGCAAGGAGAGCATGAGGAGAAACTCATTGAGCTGAAGTAGTGCCCAGATGGATTTGGCCTCTGCTAAAGACACTTTCCCATCCCGGTTCACATCTGCCATGGCGATGATCCGGCTCACCAAGGCGGCGAGAGAAGGCTGATCTCCCAGGTTGGACTGCAAACAGAACAAGAAGTGGCATCAGACCCTTGCAGCTCTCTGTGTTCGGGCTCAGGATCGCGAAACTAAACTGGGGAAGCAAAGAACTGAGCTTGGGAGAGGAGGAAACGGCCACCGCACGCCAGGAACTTTGGTGCCGTACCATTGTGTATGGTTGGATGGATTCAGCTCCAGCAGAATTTTACCAGCCTCGGGGCTGCTCTAGACCCAGGTGGGAGCAAGTGTCTGAGAGCAAAGGCCCGGCAGCGCTGCCGTCCCAGCACAGCCCTGCCCAAGGGGTCACGGCTGCAGCGGCACCAGTGCTGCCAGGGCTTGCAGACACGCTCTGCCCAGCACAGAGGCACCCACAGCCACGGCACAGCGGCCTCCAGGGTTGCTGCTGTTAAAATCTTGCAAATAAGAAATTCTGTGTGAGAAGAGAGGGGTTTTGGGCTAACCCGGTCCTTGCTCTCCAGTATATGGTAAGGAGCCCTGCCCAGTGCCCACCAACTGATGGGAGAGCGTGGGCTCCCATTTAAGGGGAAGGAAAGGCACATTTAGTCTTGCTGGATCACAAGTGGCAGCCCAGGCCCGCAAGATCCCAGAGGGACCCTCCATACTGACCTTGAGGAAGTTGAGGAGCATTTCTTTGAACTCATCCATCGATGTCCCTCGTGTCGGTTTGTCAAAGAGGACCATGTCCCTCCTGGGCACAGAGTCTGGGTGGCTGTCTGCCCTCAAGGCTTCTTCGATGCCGCATTTGATGATCACCTCCCTCTCCCTCCAGAGCCCACCATAAACCTACAGCGAAGGAGAGGGGACAGAGCAGAGACAGGAGGAAAACAACAGCAAGTGCAGAGAACTGGTTTCTGGTTGGGTTTGGGCTGGGTGCCAGGGATGGGGTGAGGAGCAGACGTGCAGGTGGGTGGAGGAGGACATTTCCCAGGTTTGATGCTCGCACCCATCCCCTGCTGTGCCGTCGTTTCCCCGGAGGGCAGAGCCCTACCTGCTGGGTGGGAGAGGAGGAGAGGCAGTGCTGGAAGAGGAGGCTGCGCTCCTCACACAGGTCCTTGCACGTGGAGCCAGAAATGATTCCTTTCTTGTACTGGTCACACTGGGGAGGGGAAGGCAGAGAGAGGAGCTCAGCGGGGGCAGCTCGCCATTGACCCGAAGAAGTCCAACGGATCCAGGCTCGGTCCCACACCTTTTGAGTTGGGGCACCCCAAGCACATGAGCTGGGGCATGCGAGCCCCCCCCCCAGCCCCCATGCAGCCACCAGCCCCGTGCCCATCACCTGCCATGCCCAAACTCCTCACCCCCCATCCCTGCAGCAGGGCTAGGGCCAGCACTTTGGTTTTTCAATCTACTGCATGTACCGGACAGCATCATCAATGTCATTGCGTCCCCGGTGAGCCCGTTTCCCAAGTTCATGCAAGTCTCTTTATAAGAGGAAAAAAAAACCCTTAAAAGAGGCACATCTGACTGCAAAGCCACACGGGCTGCCTGGAGGCAAGAACAGGGTCTCCAATTGCCAACAACTTCTTTCTTTCCTGGGACTTTGAGGTTCTCGAGCACAGAGGGGCTGCTTGGGCTCACCACCCCAACATCACTTTGGCCTTGCGTTTGGCAGCCTGCGAGGTGCCACCAGCCACGGGGGACCCCGGCCATGCCGTGCCATCTGCATCCCAGCAGCCAATTCGGCCAGTTCAGGGGTTTCGGGAGGGAGGGGAGCACCTTGTGCTCAGAGTTTCATCAGGGAGATGTAGTGCCGGTTGCTCAGAGTTCACCCCCAAACTCCCCGCTCCCTGTCTTCCCAAGAAATCCCAGCCCAAAATCTTCTCTGCTCCAAGACCCAAAGATTTCTACCGGCCCCAGCACAAGGACTTTAATGGGGGAGATGTGGGGAGAGGAGTGTGTAGGCACGCCTGGGGCTGAGCCTTGGCCCTTTGGGGTGGCTCTGAGCTTCGGGCAAGGTGGGGCTGGGCTGGCAGGGACCCCCGTGCTGCTGGAGAGACCACAGGGGATTTGCTCCTGGGTGCTCCTGCTGCAAGTCCAGGGGGTTAGGGGAGCTTCCAGGGCTGGAGGAGAGGGCAGCGTGGAACTGGGCGAGGATGAGGATGCACAGGCTCAGGCTGCTCAGCAGAGCAGCAGCCCCTGCTGTGAGATGGGCTGGCCCTGGTCCAGGCGGTGGCGGGGACGGGGGCAGGGACAGACAGTGGCTCTCATCCGCAAGCGGGCGGCTGGGTTGGGAGCCGGAGGCATCCCTGGGCAGGAGAGGCTGCAGCTCTGCAGCTTCCCAGGGAGGGTACAACAGCCTCAGGGCTGGAAACAGGAGCTGCAGAAATTCACTGCATCTTTTCCCCCCTTTTTTCCCCCCCGCAACGTGGATGGGAATTAACCCTTAGTCCTGCTCACAGGGGACGTGGCCAGACACAGCATCTCAAACCCCAAGCTCAGAGAATTAGCTCCCGAGACCCCATGGTCAGAGTCATGCAGAAAATCAAATTAAACGATCGTCACTGTTGTTATGGCAATTCCTGCCTCCCTTCTCTGCTGAAGGATTGATGAACGAGGCGTTTTCAGCCAGAGCCTGGCATCCCCCTCCTCGCCTGGGCTGGGAGGGCGACCTGCTCCCCTGCCATGGGGCACACACAGCAGTCCTGGGGGGGGCCCCACTTGGCTGCCAGCCCCGGGGGTGCTGTGGGGAGCAGGCTGCGCCCCACTGCAAACCCCAGGCAGGGGCAAAACACACCAAGCCCAAGCTCCCGCGAGGGGTCTGCTCTCCGTGCGGGCTGGTGATTGCTGTAGGGCACATCAGCAGTTACAGAGAGGTGCCCACAGGCTGGCTGCTCCCCTTTTTTTCTCTGGCTCTACTTCATCTCCACAGACATTAATCTGCCCACGTCTGCCTGGCTTGCCCTGCCCTGCTTCCCTCCGACATCTCATTAAATTGTTTCGCCGTCGCCCTGGCAGGATAAGGTCACCTCTCCCGCTCCGAGCTCCGCGTGATGCCGGGGATGGTGCCGGGGAAGCAGCTGCCAGGAGGGCCCAGCTCTCGTGCAGGATGCTGCCCCAGCACTGCCTGCCCGGCTGCAAAGCACCGCACGGGGTTTGGAGGAGTGGAAATCAGGGTCCCGCAGCCCTGCTCACCCCAGCACCCCAAACCGGGACCAGCGTGGCCGCGGGGGCTACTGGCCACCACTCACGATTATCATCCGGCAGACGTGGCCGCGGCAGAGCTCGGAGTAGGACGAGTAATGCATGTACGCCACCCAGCTGCCCACGAAGATGCCCAGCCACACCACCAGCAGGTATTTCACCTTGATGCCCGGGAGGCGACTCTGGAAGGAAAAGAAAATGCTGGTGAAGGCCGGGGGCTCTGCACAGGTCGTCAGCGGCTGGACAAGGACGACTCCTTCTATACAAACCAACCTGAGCCTTGGTGAAACCTTCAGCCTTTTTATATACATTCACCAGCCTATTACACAACTCCTGCTGCAAGTAGGTCACTTAAAATTCCCTAAAAGCAAGGAGATTACAGCGCTGGGCTGTGAGGAGCTGGCTGCCAGGCATCCCCCTGCCCGGGAGCTGCAGCAGCATATGCCCGCTCCCCTGCCAGCGCGAGGGCAGAGCCCGCTGCCCTCTGCAACCCCGGGGCTCACCGTCAGCACTGCGAGAAGCTCTGCTCCTGCCTGGGGGGACCCTTCCCAGCAGAACCCCCCTTCCAAAGCCCCACGGGCACAGGACACTGTCCCCACCAGCTCCAGCGTGGGAGCGGGCGAGTAACGAACCTGGAAGCGCGTGGATAATACTCCGTGCAAACATCTCAGAGGCTCGCAGCATGATTTTCTTTTCCTGGTTTCATTTCTTCCCCTCTGCCCCTGTAACAGCAGCGCTGCTGCCATCTGGCCTCCCCGCAAGATAGGTTGTTTACCTGACCCGTGTAGCACAGCGCAGATCCCCGGCGGTTCCCAAGGGCAGGGAATTAATCCTTGCGTCAAACACCCCATTCCTTCCAGTTTCTATAGATAATTCCTGCTTTGCGCCAAGCCAAGAGAGCGCTTGGCCAGTGGCCACCTCCAAATCCTCCTCTCTCCTTGCACTACATCAGACCACGACCTGCTGCGGGGGTAGGGCTGGGTCCAAGCGGATGTGGCAGCGTTACAACCTGCCAGGGACCCTCACTTGGGTCTTGTAGCCCAAAACCGCTCCCACCTCCAAAATTCCCCCTCCCCAGCCCCTTGCCAAGCGCTGTAAGGGCTCTGCCCCA